GGTGGCTCAGTTGGTTAAGCGACTGCCTTCGGCTCAGGTCATGATCCTGGAGTCCCGGGATCGAGTCCCGCATCGGGCTCCCTGCTCGGCGAAGAGCCTGCTTCTCCCTCTAACCCTCCCCCCTCTCATGTGCTCTCTGTCTCTCTCATTCTCTGTCTCAAATAAATAAATAAAATCTTAAAAAAAAAAAAAGAAGAGGTAATCAATAAGTCTATTAAAAATGTTTGGCCTCATTAGCCATCAAAGAAGTACAAATTAAAACAGTAAAATGTGATTTATGCCTTGTCAAATTATAACCTTTTTCTAAAATATTGTCAGCATTGATAAGATGTGAAGGAACGGGCATACTTATATGTGGCTGGTAGAATGTAACTAGCTGTGATTTTCCTGAGGACAACTTGATAGTATGTATCAAAAACCTTAAGCCATCCTTTGACCCAGAAATTTCACTTCTAGAAGTATAATCATACTCATTATAAAAAGCTTTGCTAGAACCGAATTTTGATATGGGGAAAATTCTGGAAACAACCCAAATGATGAACAACAGGGGACTCGTGAAATGGAACTATAGTTCATCCAGAATTAAAGAGACCACGCAGCATTACACATGACATTACAGAACACAAAGCTGAACTCTTGTTCCCACCCTCCCTGTGCTCCAGCTGGCCTTTCTCATAATCTTCCCCACCTCAGTAAGTGGCTCAGTCCCAAAACCTTGCAGTCATCCTTGACTCCTCTCTTTCCTTCATAGTCTGTATCTAATCCACAGGCCTGTCACCTCCACCTTCAAAATGTCTCCCTTTTCTGACCTTGTCCCACCACCCTCGAACACCCTAGGCTTGAAGGAGACCGAGCCACACCACCTCGCTCCTGGACCACCTCAACAGTCTCTGTCTTTCTGCTTCCATTCTTGTCCTCCTATAGACAATTCTCTGTAGGGCAGACAGACTGATCTTTTTAACCACCAGAACATGTCACCCCTTGCTCGCAACTATCAGGGGCTTCCCTCACACATGGAATAAAATTCAAACTCCGTGCATGGCGTAGCCAGCTTCACCAGCTCTGGCCCCCGTGTGGCCTTCTGACTTCAGCTCATATCTCTGTTCTAGCCACGCTGACCTTCTTGGTATTCCTCAGACTCACAGCCTTGTTACTGCCTAAACTTTGCACTGTTGTTCTCTGTCTGGGGTTCTCTTTCCCCAGTTCTTCGCATGGCTTTGTCTTAAAAGTGCAGAGAGAGGTGGGGTGCCTGGGTGGCTCAGTCGTTAAGCGTCTGCCTTCGGCTCAGGTCACGATCCCAGGGTCCTGGGATCGAGCCCTGCATCGGGGTCCCTGCGCCGCATGCATTGGGCTCCCTGCCCCACATGCATCGGGCTCCCTGCTCGGCAGGAGGCCTGCTTCTCCCTCTCCCACTCTCCCTGCTTGTGTTCCCTCTCTTGCTGTGTCTCTGTCAAATAAATAAATAAATAAATAAAATCTTTCAAAAAAAAGTGCAGAGAGAGGCTCATTTGACCCCTAAGTAAAATAGCTTCCCATCACTCTCCAGGCCCTCATCTGCCTTTGTTTTTTGTCACTGTACTTATGACTCCCTGCGTTAGGAGTTACCTGTCCTTAGGTGAAAGCTAGTTGAAGGAGAAGAGGCATTTGTTAACAGACAGGAGATCAAGGAACGGATAGGAAGGCTGAGTGGTTCATAGCCAAGAGCAATGCGTAAATCACACCGCTTGGTGAGAACCCTATTGCCCTGCTGCCAAAGGGCATGTCACCAAGGCCACTGTCCCAGACCCCAGCTCTGCTGTACCCACTACAACCTTCCTCCTACTGCAGACGCTGGCCACCAGCCGCAAGGATTTTCTGCAGGCCCTGTGTCCTTGAATCCCTGGCTCCTGACCCAAGGTATGGGCTGGTATGTCTGATTGGCCAAGCCTTGACCATGGGTCTTGGCTCATTCTACAAGGGAGGCTGGTCAAACTACCATCTGGAGATTTCTCTTTCTATGTAGTGGGCCATGGGCTCTGCATCCCAGGATTCCACAAAGTACAGAATGTCCCGATATAAGATGGAGTTTCAGATTCTAGGTGGCCAAAAAAGGATGACAGATATCTCTTGCATTAGTTGGCTTTCTACTCTATGTTTATTTGTCTATTGCCTATCTCTTCTGCTAGAATAGAAGCCTCACTAGGTCAGGGACTTTGCCCTTTCCTCTCTACAGCCCCCGAGTCCGGAACAGTGACTGCAGAGAGGTGGCCTTCCATTAACATGCGTTAACTGAGTATCAGATACTATATTGAAAGTGTTGGCAATCCTAACGATTAAACAGTCTAGTTGTTATCATTCCTCCTTTTGGTGGGAGATGCTCCTGGCCCCCTCTTCTGGCCTGTTCCTCCTCCCCTAGCTCCAAAAGCAAAAGCAAGCCAGTCTAGCCTGATATGGCTAGAAACCACATTTGTAGGTAGAGAGTATCAGAACTGAGTTACATTGTAGGACGACACCCAGCTGATGTCACAAATTGTTTGGTGTGGGGGAAAAACCTTCACACATTTGGTGACCAGAAATGTTCTCTGTGTTAAAGTCAAGGAGACACACAAGGAAGAAACATTAGTAGGTAGAACTGGGTTTTTCCCCCTACACAGAAGGAGGAAAACAGCTTTTTCCCTGACAAAGGACACCGGAGACATATGGAACTCCAGCATTTGGTGGTGGGGAGGAGGGTGAGATGCAAATGTTTTCTCTTTTAAAGAGAAAGAGAGAAAATGATAGTGAAAGTCGTTTCTGGGCTGGACTGTCCGCAGGAGAGGGATGGGTTGAGGGAGGAGGGAGAAAGGGAGTTGCGGGGTGGGGGTGGGTGAGAAAGAGGAAAGGAAGGGAGCTCTCTGAGGGAGAATCAGGCTGCACATAATGTCGAAGGAACGCTTCCTATATTCTATTTATAGATTCTAGAGACCTGCTAAGAAGAGACAGTTCGAGCTGGTTTAGCTGTGTTAAAGGATTACTAATTACAGTCATTTATGAGAATCGCCGCTTAGCATTTCTAGCTAATCACTGTGCAGGCAAGTATTATCTATATTGTGACTATCCGCCAGAGTGTCTTTTGTTGTAAATTTTATTTGATTGCAACACCTGCTCATGAAGATTCCCTCTGTTCTGGGGAAGCGTAGCCGCCTGCTCAGGACTGAAACAAAGCAACCCGGAAGGAATGCTTTCTAAGAATAAAGGGAAAAACATTCCTATAGATATACCACATAATTTTTGTTACTTGGGGTGATGGTTGGTAGAAGAAGATCAACAAAGCACTGAGAATTTTTTTTTTTTTTAATTTTTGCTGCTTCCTATATCCCCATTCTCTATTCTCATCACCACACACACACACACACACACATACCACTCTTTGCACACTAGGTCCATGACAGATTCAGAAACTGGAGCATGTAATCTACAAACTTATCCATTATGGTGTTTTGCAGATGGACAAAGTTGCTTTTACCATTTAAAAAAAAGGGCCTCCTACTAATGGTCCCTCAGGAAATCTGTGGCATATTAAGCAATGTGGGGTTTGGATTAGGACAAGAGAAGGTTAAATTAAATCCAAGCAAAAACATCTTGACTTGTAGCTTAGAAACGTGTGCAGTTCCTGACTTTAGATTCAGTTTTGTGAAGTAACTTTCCAAAACACATTTTGTGGGTGGGTGTCCATGTGTGGCCCCATGAGCCACTTGGAAAGAAGCATGGCCCTCGCTCTCAGCAATGCCTGCCACCACCATCTCTCCATGGAGGCGATAAACCGGGGCAGCTGACCAGGGCTTCTCTACCAAGCTTGGAATGCAGGCAGGGAATTGCATACATAGAAAAAGAAAGCTGATTGGAACCACTTAGTTCCTATGTACATTCATCAACTTCTATCCAGTCAAAGTTTGGCATCAATGCTGGGGGATCAACCTTTCCAGGCCTGTTGTTCAGATGAAGACATTACAGAACACAAAAGGCACGTCAAGTCCTCCAACACGGCAGCAGGCCTGAGATAAAAACCAGACTTTGGAGTCAGAGTGGGAACAGGCTATACTGTTTTAAAATGTTACTTACTGTTAAAAAAAAAAAAAAAGTGAGGAATCGGGAATCAGAAAATTAAATATAAGGGCAAGAGTTTACAAATGAAACATTTTCTTCTTAAAAACACTACTTCCATGTAAAATTGTGGTTTGACCCTTAGTTACCCACCAATAACTGGGTTATTGGGTAAGAACAAAATGGTGAAAACTTAGAAGTCATCTGGCGCAATTCTCATCTGATATTTGAATCCCCTCTTTGTGCCCCAATATCTTGTCATCTTGTTTCTGCCTCAAAACTTTAAGTGGCAGCAAACCCATTGCCTGTTGGGGTAACCTATCTGTCTCTGGAGCGTGCTGGTCGAGAGGCAGGACAGGCTGCAACTGTATCACTCCATAGTCCTAGCCTTTTGGAGACACACAAGTCCAATCTCTTTTCCCTGTAAGCCCTTCCTTCACCATTAGGAAACCCCAGTCACACATGCCTTTCAGGACCCCAAGTCTACAAATACTCCTGAGTCATGGTGTCAGGCTCCCTCACCAACCCTGCTGTCCTGGTTCCAGTTTGCAAATGCTCCTCTTCCGTGGGATACTGGCAACCAGAGCCAGCCTGAGGCCTGCCTGGGCTTAGTCGATATCTGCCATGTTTTTACCACCCAGCAACTTTGGAACACCCGCTCTTAGGAGACTGGTTATACCTAAGGAGGAAGTCAGAGGCTTACTTTGTAAGCCTCCCCTGCAGCTAAGGTTTGGGCATGTGATCCAGACCCCTCTGATCACGTACAACCACATGAGACCATGATTCTCCAGCTACAGATGGGAAGAAGGACTGCAATGAGGCATTCTGGTAAGGGTAGATGCAGTGACTTCCAGCATTTCACAGACAGGGCTTATGAAGTCCTTTGGTAGAGCCCAGAAATCGAAAGATGAACTACTATGGTAGGCAGGATAATGGCCTTCCAAGGATGTCCATGTCTGCGTCTTTGGAGCCTGAATATGAATATGGGACCCATGTGGCCCATGCAATAGAGCTCAGGACCTTGAGATGGGGAGTTATCCTGGGTCATCTGGGTGGACCTGATGTACTCTGTAGAGTCCTTGTAAGGGGGAGGCAGGAGAGTCAGAATCAGAGAAAGCCATGTGATGACAAAAGCTGAGTGAGGGAAGGAGATGCAGTGATAGAAGCAGAAATCAGAGAGACAGATTTGAGGGTATTCTTCTGCTGGCTTTGAAGATAGAGGATGGTGCCATAAGCCAAGGGCTGCAGGCACCTTGATTTAAGCCCAGTGAGATCCACTTTGGACTTCTGACTTCCAGAACTGTAAGAGAATAAATCTGTGTCATCTTGGACTACTACATGTATGGCAATTTGTTAGGGCAGCAACAGGAATCCAATACCTAGATGCCTAAGTCCTTAAGGCCAGTGGTGGCAGGAAAGCAGAGTCTCCGTGAGAGGGGCTGATGCAATTCGGGTGCCTCTCTTACTGCAAAACTTGCAAATCTGATTCTCTGGCCCTCCCAAAGACTCTATCAGCTCTCTCCTATCATTTGGCGAATTCATCTTCTTCTTAAACCAGATCGAATACATAGGATCTGGGGCTTGCAACAAGGAATCTGGTAGCCCTGGCAACCCAGCACTCTACATTTGTCCTTTCTCTTTTATTTCTGGATGATCTCTCAGCTCCACCTTTGCTGCTCTCTCACTCCTGCCTTCGTTCAAGTTTCCACTAGTCCTTACCTAGACCATTGGCATGCCTTCCTAACTGCTTTCCCTGTCTCTGGCCTCTTCCCACTCCTCCACTTCCTCCACATTCCTGCTGTGTCATTATCTTTCTGAAACTTAGCCACAGGACTTCGTTGCCCTATTGAAAACGCATCAGTGGTGTCCGGTTGCCAACGGGATAAAGACCAAAGTCCTTATATGGCTTGGAAGGACCCTTATCACCTTGCCTGAACCTGCTTGTACTGTCACTAAGAGCAAAAGCTATGGTGTTAGTGATGCCTGATGAGCTCTAGGACCTTGGGTAAGTGGGGCCTCATCTGTAAGGTAACCACAATAACATTGGTAAAATGGGGATTTAAGAATTCCTAGCTCATTGCGTTGTCGTGTAATTAAAGAGATAATGCATACAAATGTACTTGGCTCAGTGCTTGGCATATAGTGGGCATTGGATTATACATGTGTGTGTGTGTCTGTGTCACTTCCCATCTTGTACCACCAAATACTCCCCATATTACCCCTGCATTTTCATGCTGATATATTTTTTTTTAACTTCAAAGTTTTTCCTTCCTTCTCTTTTGCTTGGCAAACTATTGCAGGATCGAGCTCAGATATTACCTCCTTGTGAAACGTTCTTTGATCCTTCAGGCAAGGTGGTCAGTCCCTACTCCGAGCGCCTGATGTGATTCTGTGGCAATGACTTGCTTTCACTTTCTCCATCGAGAGTCTTTTCCATTTTGAGGTTGATAAAGCCCAGTGTGGCATCCAGCAAACAGGAGCCTCTTGATAAATGTCAGGTGAACAGATGAATGGAGCAATGATGAAAAGGAGAAGGTTGGAACCACCACCTGCCCGTCTGGAAAGTAAGATTTGGCCGAAAGCATGGGAGTTCAAACCTGAAACTTCCCGTGTTTGCATAGCAAACCTATGTAGGTGTTCTAGATAGGCTTCAAGGAGGTTGAAGATTATGGAATGGGTGAGTCTGAGTTATTATTTTACACAGGATTTTTAGGCACACAAAAGAATTGTTTTAAAACCATGTTTTTTTAGAGAGGAAGTCGTCCAGTTGCTATAGGCAATTATTTACTTAATAATTCCAAGTGTGGGCAGGGCAAAGCTTCAGGGGTAGAGGCCACTGCCCAGTGAGGTTCTAGCTGAAATTAAGACAAAGCACCTCAGAGCTGAGCGCCAGTGGGAGAAAGATATTGCTGGGCACGCAACTATTTACATGCTTGTGTACGCTGAGGTGCATCTGAGTGATATTTGATCACTTTTTCACAGAAGTCATCAAGAAGTTTCAAGCCATCCAATGTATCTGTATTTTCAATGTCAAATCACAAAGTAAGATTTCTGAGAAAAGGGTTTATTTTGTGAGTCACTTGGACTTTCCAACAAAGTACACAAAAATGGAGACTATTCCTTCAGGACCCTAGGAGTTGGCCATACACATGTAGTTTACAACTCCTCTGGGCTCCAACCCACAAGGGGCCCTGTTTGTCTCCACAGAGACATTTTCCACCGGTATCAACTGCAACTAGAACCATCGGTCTGCTCTTCCCTTCACCCTGCTGACATTAGCAGCAGAGCCGCATTCAAAAGTTCAGAGACAAGTGAAACTTGGTTGGGGTCACTCAGGCCACAGAACCTTCCTAAGAACAAAAAAACAAAAGGTCATGACCTTGGTTACGCCTAAAGTAAAGACTTCCCTGTTTCAGATTATAAACTGGTTCGGATGAAAACCGGCTGATGTGTGGACAATCTGATGGGTTCAGTAGGCCTTTCAACCTTTGTAATTATCTCTTTGCTAAAGTAAATGTTAGCATAACCATTGGCATTTGGTAAGTTATTCTGTGCTACTCAAGATAGAAGACAGATAAACTTTAATCATTTTTTGAGTAGTTAATATACATTTCTTATCACAGAACACTATTCTTTTTTTTTTTTCCTCACAGAACACGATTCTGTTTTGTTGCTAGGATGTATAGAAATACATTCGTACACAGTTAAGTTCAAATAATTGCACGTGTATGCAAGTTTTTCTGTTTTCCACTATGTGCATAGTTTTTTAAAACATGGCCCTCCTTCGAGAGCAATCGGTGACCTTCCCTTGCAAGTCTGAAGATAGGGCAGTGCAACCCAGCACTCTACATTTGTCCTTTCTCTGGAGAGGACAAATGGAGAGGCCGGGCTGAGGACTTACTGGGGAAACAAACCAAATTAAAGACGAGTGGTTCTGTAGGGACTGCAGGCCTCTTGGGGTGTATTTTTTTTTTTTTTAAGATTTTATTTATTTATTTGAGAAAGAGAGAGGGTCAGAGGGAGAAGCAGACCCCCCGCCGAGCAGGGAGCCCGATGCGGGACTAGATCCCGGGACTCCAGGATCATGACCTGAGCCGAAGGCAGTCGCTTAACCAACTGAGCCACCCAGGCGCCGCTCTTGGGGTGTATTTTTGCTAAGACTGATTTACATGTCCTCTACTCCAGCAACATGAATAGTACCACTTCTCAGATTAATGAGAACAATTTTCCCTCAAACGATAGAAGACATGCCATTTCTCAATAAGGAGAGGACCTGTCAAAATTATGCATAAATAAAATCATAACTAGAGGGCCTCCGTCATTTATAGCCATTAATTTCTTCCATCCTCTTTGAAAATCCCGAGGGGAAGAGGCAAGTGACAGCAGTTCACACACAGAGACATGGGCGTACCAGGGACTCCGGCCAACTCGACAGGATCTAAAATAGTCCTTTGGCAACTGAGCAAAGAATGGATTCCAGGCCCCGAGGCAACTGTGCACATCAGAGGAATGGGTTCCCTCCCTTGGGCTGGGGCAGAAGCTAATCTTGCGGTCTTCCCCAACACGGCAGCTCTGCTCTGAGGGCAGCCAACTAAGGCTTGACAAAAGCCAGCTTGGGGAGCAGCCCAGCCCAACCTCATACCCACACGCTGCTACTGAAAGTGTTTTAAAGATTCATAACATCTTATTGATGCTGCTTAGCAACAGCAACTGTCAACGTTCTCCTTCTTTTTGGAGTAGGCAAAACCAACCTCCCGTTGGGGCTTGACCCATAAATAGAGGTGTCCCCACCCTGGGCATGATCAGCTTGTGTGTGAGTTGCCTGAGACTGGTCTATTTCACATTCAACAATCATTTCCTGAGTGTTCACTATGTGCAGGGCTCTGTACAATGGCTTGGGGTAAAGTTCAGAGAGGAGTAATAATCATTAAAAAAAAGAATAGCTCAGGGAGGTGTAATAAAAATAAAAAGATTAATTCCAGTGTATCACACCCCTACAGGCTACAGGCCCCCGGGCTGCACTTTACATAATTGGCTCATTGGGTCTTTGGAACAACTCTGCAATTTTATTTTCATTCCTGTTTTATAGATTAAGAAACTGAGGCTTAGAGAAATTACGTGACTTGGCAAAGCTCGGCATATCAAGGTTGGGAAGGGAATTGATTCAGAGGTGAAGGGGGCAGTCCTTGAAGGTTGTTAAGCACTGATGTGACCTGATCACAGACTAAAGAAAAGAAGTACATAGAATCGGGGTGCCTGGATGGCTCAGTCGTAAGTGTCCAGCTCTTGATTTCAGCTGTCATGATCTCAGGGTCCTTGGATTGAGCCCCACCATGGGGGGTTTCTGTTTGAGGGTTATCTCTCTCCCTCTCCCTTTGCCCCTTGCACATACGCTCTCTTTCTCTCAAATAAATAGATCTTAAAAAAAAAAAAAAGAAGAAGTATGTAGAATGGCAATAGGATAAATGAAAAGGTGGAAAAGTCAGCCAGGAGATCAGTTAGGATTTGGTGGAAAACATGCTAAAGGTTGACTTGCAAATCTAAACAACATGCATATATGTTTTAAGAACACAATCATCCACAATAAAAACTACAAAGAAAAGCCAGGTAATTACAAATCCAAAAATTCAGGCCAGTAGATACTTCCGGGGAACATGAACAGAAAAAGGGGAGGAGGACATAATTAGAGTTGAGGTTTCAGTAGGCTTAAATTGTATTTGTTTTTATTTTATTTATTTTATTTTTTTAACTTTATTGAGGTATAATTAATAAACAGACCTGCAATCTTTAAAAAAAATATATACAATCTGCTAAGTGAAATAAGTCAAGCAGAGAAAGTCAATTATCATATGGTTTCACTCATTTGTGGAACATAAGGAATAGCGTGGAGGACATTAGGAGAAGGAAGGGAGAAATGAAGGGGAGTGGAAATTGGAGGGGGAGATGAACCATGAGAGACTATGGACTCCGAGAAACAAACTGAGGGTTTTAGAGGGGATGGGGGTGGGGGGTTGGGGGGTTAGCCCAGTGATGGGTATTAAGGAGGGCACGTTTTGCATGGAGCACTGGGTGTTATACGCAATGAATCACGGAACACTACATCAAAAACTAATGATGTACTGTATGGTGACTAACATAACATAATAAAAAAAAATAAAATCCTAAATCCAAAAAAAAAAAAATACAATCTGATATTTGCTATACACACACATTGCAAGAGGATTCCCACCAACAGATGAGTTAGCAAATCAGGCATCTCACATATTCCCTTTTTGTTTTTCTTTTTTGGTGAGAACCCTTCAGTTCAACTCTCTTAGCAAATTATAATGGTACAACACAGTATCCCTGAATGGCAGCCACAAAGGCAGGGCACCAGGCATGTGTACAATCTCATCCTAGAGAGATGTTGGCGATCTGGTTGCTACAGTTGGGTTGAGTGGAGGGAGAAGGTGGAGGAAGTGCCCACTGGTCTCCCTGGGTTCCAGGGAGGGTTGCAGCTGGCCCTGAGAGATGTGAGAGATGCGTGCAGATTAGAAACTGGACCCTCAGATAGTCTGTTGTACAGTAGGCAATCAATCCCCTTGCAAGGAAAGACTGGGAAATGGGCTTTTCTGCCTGCTCTCTCTGGGCTGGGCTCTGAGCTGACAACCTCAGCGAGTGCTCACGTGCCTATGAAGAACTGCTTCTTTGTTTTCTAGAATCCTATGGGTGTCATGAATGCAAGCACCATTGACTTTTCATTGGTATCTGGGGGCCCATCTCTCTGGTGGGAACCTTGAAAGTTGTGGCACCAGATGTGGGGTCCAAGTCCTTTCCTCCCTCGGGGAGAAGGTAGGAGTTGAGGATCCCCCTGATTGTATGGCAATGTGCCAGGGTTGGGGTTTATGGTGAGTGTGTGTCCCAGTCTCTCCCACCCATTTTGATGTGGGCATTTTCTGTCACATGGTGTGTAGGAGTCATTCAGCTAGTTTCTGGATTTCTCTCAGAGAGAATTGCTCTGGACGTAGCTGTACATTTGGTGTATCTGGGGGAGGAGACTGCTCCGGAACCTTCTATGTCACCATCTTGATCCTCTCCTTGCTTCATTCAAACAGTAGTTAAATGCTCTATGTCTTGTGCTGTTTTACAGGCACATGGGTGGTCAATACATTCTTCTTTGAAACCCTATGTACTAGAGTTCACAACTCTCAGCTCAGAGTGCTCTTAGTGTCTCAGTAGATTTTTCAGTATCCTGAGACAAAACCAAATCCCTAATAGTTTTGTTTTTAAGTAGTTAGGTCCAAATAACTTCAAAGTAATGGATTATATGATGTCTCTTAAGCATTTAAAATACCCAGTGGATCTCCTGTGATTTCACTGTGGTCTTCCAGATGCCTCAGCACACAATATATCATCCTATATGCTCATGTGTATGAAATGTTTCAAAATATATATATTTTAAGATATAAGGGCCTGTTCAAAGATGAGGCCAATGGAGACATGAAAGGGGCATAGGATTTCCTTGGCTTGGTGACTGACTGGATGTGGGGAGGGGGAAGTCAAAGACCTTATTAGAGTGTTGAGGTAGAATGTTGAGAAAAGTGTAAAGTCAGTGGTAGATGACTGAGGGATTATAGGAAGAAATAAGAGTAGTTTGGGACCTAGTGAGTTTATGGCAGCTGAAGATATTCAGATTTCCAGAGATGGTTGAATAATTGGGACAAGCTTATGTTCCAGAGATTTGGACCCAAGAGACTGATTTGGAGACCATGTGAAGATAGCAATGAAGCTGGGGGGAGATGACCCGAGGGCAGAAGGTAGGAGCACGATGGGACCTGAGGGCGGAGACCAGGGAAGCACCCACATGTTTGTACAGGAGGAACGAGAGAAGCTTGTCAGAGAGAGTGAGAGAGGAGAGCAAAGGGTAGGCAGCTTCAGAGAAAGCAGGGGAAGGTACAGGGAAGATTGCCAATGGGGCCCAAGGCTGCTGGGGCACTTCGAGGAGGAAGATGGATAAAAGCCACGGGAATGGACAATCGGGAAGTCATGAAAATGAGATCATGGATTAACTTGGCTCTTTCAATAAATTTGAAGGTAAAGAGAAAGTTAGAAAATTCGCTTGAAGGGATGAAAGGGGTCAAAGGACTCTCTGTGGTTGTTGCTGTGTTGTAAGGAAGCACCTTTGCTGACCTATAGGGAGAGAGAAGGAAGCTTTAAAGCAGAAAAATAGAAGGGACGATGACTGGAGCCAAGTGCAGAGAAGACAGGAGGAAGCAGGGTCAAGAGCATGGGTGGAGACTGGTGCTCCTTCCTCAGAGACTGGCGTGGGTCCAACGGGAAAGGCGGATGGATGACAGTCAAGGGAAGAAACATAGAGAAAGGTCCTGCCTCATGGCTTCAGGTATCTCAGGAACGTGGGAAAAAAGCCTGAAGGAGATAGGTTTGGTTGGGGGCTTGGGGAAAGGTTTGGGCAAGCCGGGATCAGAGAGGCCAGAAATCAACCCAAGCAAGGTGTTCAAAGGATCCTCCGGCAGCCATGAGGCCCACACGGAGCTTCCACGGTCCCTGCCTGGTGGCTCCAGTGGGCTCCGCTCTGTGGCTGTCTTTGGTCAGTGCTGAGCATATCTGGAGGGAGGGCAGACAGGCCCCGGGGGGAAAGGTCAGGGCTGGGGCAGCAGAGCTCAAGGGCACGAGGGCATCACAGAGACATCTGACGATCATCTGGGAGTGAGGGCCCTGAAGCAGGGAAGGGCGGAGGGTCTGACAGGTGTAAGGAGGGTGGCGTGGAGGCTGGGGAGGGGTGAGATCCAGGAGCTGTGGAGGCCTGAGGCCGTGCGGAGGGGTGCTGCCCAGCTGCCGGGGTGCTCAGGTCCACTACCACTTTCCCCACGCTCCCCAGCCCTCCAGCTTGCAGGCGGTCTCCACCAGCAGTGGCACCGGGTGTGGAGGAAGGGGAGACTCAGGCCACTTCTCACTTTTCCCCCTCCTTATGGCATCACTGGCGGTGGTGGTGTTTCCTCTCCGGCTCCTTGGCCCTACAGGGAAGCCCTAACCCTAACCCTCCATGGTCCCGGCTCCCACCGAGCAGCCCCAGCCCGGTGGCCCTGGTTTCTGGCCTGGTTATGCCCCCTCTCCTGCTGATCTTCCAGTTCTAGCCGGGGTCATGGGTTACAGCAGCTGTGAGCATCTCTACAACCTGTGAACCAGTTTCCTGGTTGAAATATCTAGAGAGGTTTCTGTCTTCCCAAGTGACTTTCACAGATACATTGGTATAGAAATGAATAACAACAAATAACTCCCTTTTGACCTGCTCCCATCTCTTTTTTTCTTCCTTTGCCTCGAAACAAGTGAGGAAGAATATGTAGTTTTAAAATTATCCAGGGGAGCACAGTAAAGGAGAGTGCAAGTGTGGACGCCGTCTGCACAGAGTAGGGCAGGGAGGGGCATCCTGGCCTTGGGTTAATTGCAAGAGCCCGCACAAGCTTCCTTGCCCCCTTTCTGAGATAGAGGCCATGTGGACACAGAGCAAGGGGTGAGTGTGTGGTCATCTACACAGCCCTCTGACCCAAAGTAGCTCCACTACCATAGGTCTTGGTACCTGAAATTCCTCTCCCCTCTGCCCTTTGATTCAAGTTACTCTGCATCTCCAGGAAGCTTATACTTAAATAGAGTAAGTAATAAAACAAAGCCACTCAATTAGACTCAGACGGACTGGAGAAGTTGAGAAAAACTTTAGGGAGTTTGAGTCTGTAGAAAGTTTGGGTTTCTCCTTTATATTGTATCGTAGAAATTTTGGGTTTGAACAGGCAGAGAGGAAGGGAGAAGGCCTTCTAGGAACAATCTGGGTGGAGGGTGCCCACAAGGACCAAAGTACAGAGAGGCACAAGCTTGCTGTGAAGAGACAGGGAGCACTCCCCCTGGCTGGTGCTTTCAGCAATAGGGAGAGAGAACTTCAGACAGGTCAGCTGGAACCTGTAGGACCTTGACTACCAGACTATGGATCTCTAGCCTTCACTCAGAAGGCAATAGGGAAATAGTCAGAAATTTCTGAGTAGAGCGACAGCATGTCGAAAGTGGTTATGTGAGGAAAAGTCGAGCCCTGAGCCTGGTGGCAGTGTGGAGAATGGATCAGATGCAGGGAGAAGCTGGGGACAAGAAGAGCGACAAGGAGGTCGCTGTAATAATCCAGTGGTGTGGTGATGAGGACTTGAGCTAGAATAATGGCAGAGCGCCAAGAAAGCGAAGGGGGTGAGAGATATCAGGAAGAAGTATTCCATAGGATTAGGCTGATGGCATAGGAGAGTTCTAAGAGATGGATGTGATTCAAGCAAGGTTGATTTGTTGGAAGCACTTCCAAAATGTGCACTTTGTTATGAATCCACCGATATTTATGACTTCTCAAGTGTCATTACCTAACTCATTTACAATCTGGAAATTCACATCCACTTTATCCATCATGTGGGGTTGACTCTTACTCTATACGTCTTCACAGATAGATTACCTGACCCTATAAAGAAGTTTTTATATCATGATAACATGTAGTTATTTATTTTACTTTTTTTAAAAAAAAAAAGACTTAACAGAATCCCAGAACTCCCAAATCCAGACTTGGTCAAGGATTACTAGAGAAGCTCAGGACTGGGAGGTAAGCATGAGCTCAGTTTGTCCAGCCGGAAGACAGAGAGCACTGATCCCCAGGCTTGCTCAAGCCACGTGACAGCTCAAAGCCCAGGCTCATCCTCCAGGGATCACTCCAGTGCCACGCAAGGGGTCCCTGCATTATGGAGGAAGGTCATGTCTCCAGAAAAGAAGACCATAATCCTGGTTATTCTGTGCCTAATCTGGTGGTCAATAACGCCCTTCTTAAAATTTCCAAAGCTCCAGCCAAGGCATTTAGATTTCAAGTGTGAAATAAACAGACCATACTGGGTGTATAAATGTAAGGATATCCTGGAAAATATATGATATAAGTGATAATGAGAAAGAGGCATAATTTTATCCAATTTGTGGAAAGAGACAGAAATTCCATTACCTTCGATGAAAGATTTTCTTCTGTGCAATTCGTAAGTAACAATGCCATGATCCCATGGTCATTGCTACTCTTACCTAGAGAGTAATTTCCCCACCAGTCTCTATGACTATACCCTCAAAAGCAGAATTTCTACTTAAGCAGCTTGAGATGTGTGAGCAGCAGGTACTACTCAGCCCGGTGAGCTTCCTAGAAGCCTCCACACTTATCCCCCACATGGAGGCGGGGCGCCAGAGCTGTGATGCTCCTGGCAGACCCCATCAGTTCACTGACCTAGTTGTCAGCCAACTGCCCAGCCCATTAACACCCCTCTCCCTGTCCTGCTTTCGAGTGTTCAGGTTCTCAGTTTCATTTTCCCATTTCTGTCCTTTCTCCCATAAGACTCAATACACTGTGTTCCCTTCTAACTTTGACCTTGGTGCTTCTGGGTGACATTCTGATGCTCTACTCTGGCCCTGCTTTCTATTTTCAGAGAATATTGAATTTATTCAAGATTAAAATCCTAATAAGTTGCTCCCCTCCTGATTTGAATGTACACTTCTGGCAAGGTCCTGGTATTGAGGCAATGTGCCCACTCATTTAACAAATGTTTAGTGAGCACCTACTAAGTACAGTGTGCTGGGCAAAATGCTGAGATACCAAAGTGAAAGTTAATCCCACCCCCAAGGAGCTCTCCAGCTGGAAGGCGTAGAAAATTATAACACATGAGCACATCCTGGCCACAAGAATCTCGGTTGATTTGGCTAGGAATTTGCTGCCGTCAGTCCAATCCCAAAATAAAACACTTAAAGCCAATCAGAAGGACTAGGCAAGAGTAAAATCTGTTGTGTTTTGGGGATCAGGAATGATTTATATTCTTACTTAAAATTCACGTTAATGTTAAAACAATATTTTTAAGTAAATACAAAAACAAATTTTGGATCATGTCTGCTGTGACCAGCAACCCCGCCACTCGCCTGCTATTTCCGGTGGAGATGTCTGATGGATGAGGTCAGACTTCCAGTCAGAAGCTGGGAGCATTACTCGTCCCCCCTCCGTGGACACTTCTCTGCCTGGACTGGGCTGCAAGAGCCCCCAGAAAGGTTCCAAATGAACACAAGATGAGTTACAAAGATTCTTTCTTCCACTCTCCTCCACCTCCCTGTCTCTCCTTTGCTCACTCTCTTGTCTTCACTCAGTGGCTGCTTGTCTACCTTTGATGAGCCCAGCCGTGTGTTGGGTACCAGGGTCGACGCAAAGGCAACGAAGTCCCTGCCTTCCAGGGCTGGCCAGAAGTGAGATTCCAGCCATGACCTCTGGGTGAGAGCATGGGGAAGGTGGAAAGGGCATCAGAGGGCAGGCCTAGGAGGGAATGTCTATGCAGCAGGAAGGCAGTGTGTAGATGTCCTAGTGTCAGTGAATGGGGGCCCGGAGCCTTGTCTCCCCCTCAGCTTGGGAGCCTTGGGAGGCTTTTGGAGGGGTTAACTAAGGTGCATGTTATGTAACCAGGGCCACTGCCTCTCAGGGAGTTCACAGCAGGACATCTGAGTCCTGTCAGGGTTTGCTCTGTAGCGATTTCCAAATTAGGAAGCCCCACTAGCCTGGAAACCCGGGAATGCAGGAGGAGAAAGAGGCATGGCCCAAGGAGGGGCTGAACTGATCTGCCCCATAGCCTAGAGAGGAAGGGCCACGAGTTCTCTCTCTGCCCAGCACTCTGGTCACCCCCTCCCCCAAAGGCAGAGGGGACTTGTATCCCCTAAAACTCATTTTGTTTAACTTCTGACAATGAGGGTGTTTATCTTTATTAAAAGCATCGGGAAAGTACATGTGTAGCTTCATGAATTCTAATTCTATCTCATAGTTTATGATAGAAGACGAGTCTCTTTTAAGTTATTGGTGCCAACAAGCAAATTAAGATGGGTTTGACCTTCATCTGGTGTCAGGGATCCAGGCTCAGGCAATACTGGCCAATGATTATCATCTGTGGTAGAATTTAAAGTGGAATTTCAATTCATGAATCGATTATTGGCTGTTTGGTCTTAAAAGAGACAATATACATATTTTTACATGGTGGCTCAGAGACAAACAGGTGCTAGTGTCTTGGTTTGTTTCATGGTGATCAGTAGGTTAGGAGGGGTGGGGAGCAGGAAGCAGGCCAACACTCCACCTGTCCTGAAGCCAGATGGCAAGAGACGCAATTTGTTGGGTTGAAGGCCCCCAGGCAAATGTCTCATCTCTTCTGCCATCTTCCTGTCTTGCTATGTGTCCAGGGTGAGCCTCCTGCCTTGGCCCCCAAGCTCTGCAAGGGTGTTCGTGTAGGGCATAATTTCTGCTCTCTGTCTCCTTGGGTCCCTGAGAAATGGTTAATTGTTTCCCTGAAGGTAAGAAGCACAACCTCTCGGAAGAATTTGGGGAAACCTTCCCCGGCCCCAGCCCACCACACTGGATGACCTGTCAGGCTGTTTTCCAGCACATACTTTGTCCCTTGATTGAACTGCTGCAAACCCACCCACCAGCCCTCTGCCCCGTGTAATGCAGCTGGAGTGAGCTGGGTGAGCCTGGAGCCTGGGGCGTGAGGGGCAGCAGTGGGAAGGAACAACTGAGAGAGCTAGGGATTGAGCATGAGGATTTCAAAGTCAGGTTGGGGTTCAGGCTGAGTCAGAGGACTCTGGGAAACCATCATGGGTTTCAACTGAGTGGCAATGTTGGATTTGCACCTGGAAAAGCTCCTTCTGGCTGGTGTGGAGATGGGGTTGGAGGCAGTGGGAGTGGTGACTGGCAGACCCGATAGGAGGAACGTGCAGCAATCCTAGAAGACAGCACGGCAGGGGGAAGCTGCCGTGGTGCTCACTCCGGCCCCCTCTGCTTGCGTGCAGCTGGTCTCCCAGGTGCGGCCCGGACCGGCCATCACTCCCACTGCCGGGATCATGGTCAGAAATGTTCTGTGACCTCCTCTGAGCCTGGCTGGGCTGGGGGCTTAGAGCAGAGGAGGGGAAGAACAGGGCTATGTGGAGAGATGAGCAGAGCAGTTTTCCTGTGGGCTGTGTTCTTGGCCTACTCTCTGTCGGTCGCCAGGCTTTGGCAGACGCCCTGTGGCAAGTGGGGAGGAGGCTCTTGCCACTTGTTTTCCATTCCCAGACTGCCTTACTAAATGTTATTCTTATTTCAGGAAATGGGTTTGAACTTTCCTAGACCCTCGGGGCCCAAGATGGCAGAGCAGACTTGGCTGCGTCTGAAAGCCTCCTGAAGGCTAAGGTGGCTGTTGGGGTCTCCTGGCAGACTTGCACTCCCCAACCACAGCACTTGGCCAAGTCACTGAACTTACCTGGACCTCTCCCTGCTCCGAGGAGAGTAAACACGTGTCTATAAATTCTCTCCATGGAGTCCATGCAGAGCAGTGGCCTCAGGGCCAGGGACGTGAAGATCTGCCAACAGGGAGGGAGGAGCAAGGCGAGGAGGGCTGAGCGGGGGCCGTGGTGGCAGCGCGGGCTCAGGGGAAGGAAGGCTTTGCTGACTGGCCATCCTGACCTTCCAGCGGCAGCACCTGACCCACCTTCCAACATCGCTCTGGTGGTTGGAAGCACCTGACAACAGAGTGTAGAAAACATGGAGGTTTTTTTGTCCAACAGGTTTATTTTCATGTTTCAGACTCTGGAGGAAGAAACACATTTGCTCCCCTGGCCCTGCCATCTACCTTCCCCCGACCCAAGGTGACTGTTTTCCTCTCTGTGCCTCCCACCCTCAGATAGGCTGCCTGCCATCCTACCCTGCCGTGTGTCCTGGAGATGTCCCAGGAGCGGCATGCGTTGGACGACGCCGGCTGGAGCGGAAACACCATTCCTGGCCCTCTGCTCCGCTACATTAGCTTCAGCCAGTATTTCTTTCCCTTCCTTTTACAGGTTGTTGGCCCACAAGACTTGACTAGAAGGTACCTTGTTTGTATAATGAAGGTTCAGGTGAAAATGCAGCCTTGGGGTCCAAGTTGGGGCTTGACTCTCAGAGCCCCCGTGACCTTGTGTGTAACGTCGAATGTGAGCCTTGGGAGCTCCCTCCCTGGGTCCTGTGCCTGAGCAGCCCAGCAGCTCCAACAAGAGGTATGGATCCTGCCAAGGAAAGATGGCTGAGATCCTGGAGGGCAGCCCCCGGCTGCTCCCACCTCCCGGGCAGGAGGCACGGGATGGACAAGAGCTCTGTAATCCACGGCAAGCCAACTGGATTCCTGGGGCTTGCGGTCCCCTGGCCATAGGACTTGCATGCTGACGTAAGCAGGATAAGGTGCTCTGTAATCCAGTCCTGAACCGCATGACACAGGCTGCCATGATCAGAAGAGGCATGGGAAGGGGTAGGTGACATGGCAGGAATGTCATGGGCCTCTTGGGGTCAGGAGGGCTGGGCCTCTCAGGGTCTGTGCTTGGAGAGTTTTAAGTCTACGGCAAAATGCAATTCTTTTGCCTCTTTTGAATCACCAGTCACTTGACACAGGATGATTAGGAGGCCTGCACTCGAGTTCTGGCTCTACCTTTTCCAATCTTGAACAAATCATCACTGTCTTGTGCCTCGGTTTCACTAACTGGAGTTAAAACACAACAACAACCAAAAAACCCCAAATAGCAAAATTTAAAAAATACCACCACAACTAGCTACTAAGTACTAACAGTATCATAATATGGGAGAATGTATAAGCTTATTATAATGCTACAGCATAATCAACTTATGGTGCACAGTTCTGAGCTATATCATAGATGCTGGAGAATATTAGCTTCTGATCTTCCCCAAACCAGCAGGTGCTCCATAAATTCATGCAAAACCACCTTGGATGCTTGGATGATGACTGGCTTTCCTTTAATGGCTGTCATGGTTTGGGCTCCCAGTGAAGCAGACTCTGCGATGAAATTTAACATGCCAGATATTTATTTGGGAGTTTGTTTTTGGAACAAACACCTGTTGAAGGGAGGGGACGAAAGCAGGAGTGGCCAGAGGGGGAAGTCATATTGCAATGCAGACCCATGATGACCTCAGCAGGCCACACAGGCTCTGGAGCAAGAATGGCCTTCAGATTATCCCATGTTGTGCCAACATGGCCAGGTCTTCCTGCACCGATCTATTGTTTTATTTTGCTTTTGTTATATCTTGCCCCTAATTGGAGAACCTGAGCATAGAACAATGGTGACCTGCCCAATATTGGAAGAGGTAGGGCCAGGACTCAAACCTAGACCTACTATTGCATGTCATGTGATATGTCTACAACGAAGTGCCTTAATCTCTTGTTTTATCCACTCATTTATTCAATAAATAGGTCATATGCTTCCTTTTCTATAGACACTGGTGGTTAAGAAATGAATAAGGCACCATCTTATCTGCCATGCTCTCACATTTCCCCCTCTCTGTTACAGTTATAGACTTATTTTCCTACAAAGTTTATTTAGAGCTTCTCTGATATCAGTGAGTGCTTCTTACCCTTTGATATGCTTGTGAATCTCCCAGGATCTTGTCAACATGTTGACATGTTGCAATGCAGACCCATGATGACTCTGAGTCAGCAGGTCGGGGGGCCTGAGTCCTGCATCAGGATGTGATGCTGTTGATCCTAGGCCACTGTGAGTAGCAAAGGTCTACTCTTCAGAAACAATTTCTACTTTGGTCTCCTGAAGTCAGTCTCCCCACTTACTCTCCTCTCTGCTGAAATGTTGGGTTAGGTTGTGGCATGTATCAGAAAGATTCCATCCAGTGATAGTATAGCATTGTGGCTAAAAGTATTGGCTTGGGTGTCAAGCTGACTTAGCCTTGAATCCTGGCATCACCTCATACATAGAATTTGGGCAATTTCTTTAAGCTTGCTAAACTTCAGGTTTTTCATCTGAGATGAGAATGATAACATCAGTTACCATCTGGTATCTACCTTATGGATTGCTGTGGGAATTCAATGTGTAAATGCAGGTATGGTGTTTACCATAGTTCCTCGCACATAGTGAGCACCCTGTAAATTCTTACAAATATTAAAATACCAATATTTTTTGGCTGCCTGCAAGATGTGGATCCTAAGCCGATGGGTCTATCCACAGCTGAAGAATGATTTGCATTCACTGGAGGGGTTACAAATCATTACAGGGCTTGACAGTCGAGAAAGGGTCTTTGCTAATCTTGCCCCTGGCTCTTGCAGAGGGCCCAAAATGCTGCCTGGTTTCCTCGTCTGGTGTCTAAGAAATGACATTTAATGAATGACTTTCTGTTGTCAATACTTCTGAGTAACTTTCTGGCACCAGACAGCGCCTCTTGTGTGTCCAACCTGGAGTGAGTAGGGGGCTTCCCGAGCCCTTTCTCTAGTTCCTACAATGGTGGTAGATGCCACTGCCTCGACTCTGACTGTCCGGAGAGGTAGCGATGACTCTCTGTCTGTAAGAAGTACTTAGTTCTGGACAACCATACTTGTTCATGTGGATCCTGACTAATGACAGGGACTGGACCATGAGCTGACCGCTGAATATGCCTTAAGATGGCAGGATTGGGACCAGAGAGCATCCCAGCGGAACCCACTCATTTTGCTTGGCCAAAATCTGTAGGAAAATGAAGAAATGTTCCCAAATTAGTGCACAGCTCCTTCCCAGTGCTGTTGATGTGACCACCCTCCGCTATGTTTAAATGCAATTTTTTTTTGTTTTTCTTTTTTTCAATACACAGTTGCTGCTACTGCTAAATTATAGCTTGTGTATGTGCACGTTTTCCCCACACGTGTAGGTGGGAAACATGTTACTTACTAGTCTAGCAGTTGGTGTATCTCCAAACACATTGAGGTTCATCTCAGGGAAGACTCACAATGCAGGGGTAGGGTTGATGTTAATGCATAGGTTGCTTCTGATTTTGTTTCAATCAAGAAACAGGCTGCCATAGTAACACATTTTTGGGCTTTTATTTCATGGGGAAAGTAGAAAATTGCCTTGTGAAGATAACTCCACCCAGTAATTATTCACAGAGTTTCAGGTACTGAAATTCACCATTTCTGTGCTTTATATTAATAGCTTCTGTAAGCTAAAAAAAAAAAAAAAAGTGTACTTCATTTTCCTTCTGCCAAAGCAAGCAAACAGCAGTGGGAAGACCAAACTAAGAAGATAATCTACTTGAGGAACTTTAAACAAGGGAAAAGAGCTTTCAGATTCATGGTGCAGAACCTCAAGAAACAAGATTTAACAAATTTAAGCAGCACAGGTTTAAGGACACTAGACACACAAGAGGGAAAAAGCAGAGTGGGCTCTGACCTGAGGGAGTATTGTGGGGGGCAGGACACAGATAAGGAACAATTCGACAAATAAGTTAATTAAATAACTTCACCTCCTGATTAGGACTGTAAAAAATAACAGGAAATGTACCGAAGAACAACAGAGGGCACCACCTACTTTGGATGGGGTGGCTAAGACGGACAATCCTGAGAACGAACATTGAAGCTGAGATCTGTGGAATGAGAAGAAACAAGGATGTGTTCTCTTTCTCTGGCGATTGAGTTAATGTTAACGAAAAGGATGGAATAGATAACTTGCCACTTCCCTGGCCAGGCCAAGTTCCCTTCTTCTCCGTGCTTGGGAATGACACTGCAAGGCTCTGTGCAGGAGCTTGCCCAAGCCCTTTGAGATGGGGTGGGTCCCCACCTTCAGAAGCAGCAAACCATTTCAGAGGTTAAGAAACTTGGCCAGGGCTTTACAGAGTGTAACAGCCTTGGTTGAAGAGTCCCAAGTCAGAAAAATACACACATTGACCACTTCAAGTTTTCTGAATAACTGATGTCAACTTTTTTTTGACCAGCGCCCACTTTACACACACTGTGGAAAAATGTAAAACAGTTGTAGAGAAAGTTAAGTGCATCCAAATGCATGCATTTGACTCAGCCATCTGTAGTCTGATCTGGGTATTAAAGTTGTGGTATCGGTCCCCTCCACTTCTCTATTCCTCTCGGTCCTCTGTTGGTTGACCCATGGAAGATGTGCTGCCTACTGGTTCCAGAGTTGGGCTCTCCTCTGGGTTCCTGGATTGGTTCTTTGGCTGGTGGTAGGGCGAGGATGAGTCTGAACCACCGTTTCTCACTGCACAGTGTGGGTCCACTCCTCAGCCTTTTGCCACCCTGGTCTCTTATCCTTGAAGTGAGGACTTAGAAGAGGCTGTATCAGGATGGCCTAAGTCCCAGCTATTTTCTACACCACCTGACTGAACCATACTAGGGAAGTTACTATCTTTGTTTCTGAACTGAGTGGTAGAAAATCAGGCTGTCTCTCTCCATCCCTCCCCTGCCTCCCTAACCCCCGCTCTTCCCATGTTGTTCTCTTTCCATTTCACCTTCTCCCATACCCTGGCACCACCAGGCACATCTGCCAGAACAGTGGGGAGGAGGAGGGAAGATGAGCGGGGACATGTTAGAAGCCCTTGATTGCATAGAAAGAGAAGAAGAAGCCCCCCAGAGTGAACTCTCTATTCTTTTTGCTTGCCTTCTTAATGAAGATGAGTGGAAAGTTATCATAAAGGTTTTGTTGGTTTGCTTCCTCTTAGAAACCCTATAGTGGGATATAGACCTTTCCCTTCTTAGCAGTGAGCTCTCTGTCCAGCCTTGCACTGGGTTGCGTTGGGGGCGGGGTGCCCAATGCACACGGAAAAGCCAGAATTCAAATCCAGGCTTATGTGGCTCTGAAACCCATGTTCTTTTCTCTACATGATGCTACCTCCACTGTGTACCATATTTTAGAGTTGGAATATGCTTTGAAAAAAAATTCCCAAACCAAGAAAAAGAACAGAAGTACGTGTGTTGTGGGATAAGGAGTGGAGGTGGGTTCATATTTTTTAAGTCCTTGCACAAAATCTAGGTAGAAGAAAACAAATGGGGTGAATTTGAAGGAGCTAAAGTTAAAATAGTTGAATTGTTGATACTAATACTAGGTGTTTTGCCCAGGGGCCTTGTGCTGACCACAAGTAAGTGGAATAAAAACTCTAGACCCTAGATCTAGATCTTACTTCCACTTATGATAGACGGCTCCAGTGTGTGTTTTCTTTCCAATATGTCTTTATAGCATGCCTATAAAGTGTGAGATTGCAGGGAGAGGGCAGACCTCTGTGCAAGACTGCAGGAGGAATGTCGCTGCGAGAACTCGAAGCCATGTTGAACTGATAGCATTCAAGGCTCAGATCTCAAACCACCACACTGGTTATACAGGAGAACCAAGGATGAGGTTTTGATTCGGAGAGCAGATATGGGGCAGAGTGGTGTTAGTGATGGGGGAAGGAGACAGTGACAAGGTAGAGGAGCTGCCACTGGCAGAAGTGAGAGCACCATCCTCTTTCCACTCAGGGATCCATTAGATTCTTCTTCTCATCCTTGTCATTAAATATTGCCCCATCCGGGACACCCAGTTCCCTATTATCCGATACATCTGACTGATAGGCTCAGATTTTTTACAAATTCTTCTTAGAGGCTGAGTGGTTTCCTCTGACGAAGCCAGTCAACTGATGAGAGTAAGTTATGTGATCTGAGTAAAGATATGTTGAGTCAGGGTATGAGCTGAGGTTGACTCACTGGGGTCATATGTTAAGGCAATCTGGCTGTACATTACCAGGAAGTGCAGAGGCCAACCCCATCCCATTTTAATCAGATTGGGTCTTTAAATCTATGGCCACTTCACTCAATTAGTTAAGAGGCCTTTCGAAATATTTTATGTGTTCTACTTCTATCCATTTTCTGCTTATTCTGTATGACTATTTAGTGATGACAGTGTGTAGCTAGGTGATTTCCTATTGCCAAAGGGAAGGACAATGGGGCAGAGAATATTGTATATATGTAACACAAGATGACAGTGACTTAAGAAAAAATTAAGAGTTGTGAGAATTTAGCTAATCTTTATGGGGTAATAATGATGATGATAATGATGAAGACTACTGACACTATTTAGTGTTTGTTATGTGCAGGACACTGTGCTAAGTGTTTTACATGCTGAGTAGGATTTAAACTTGTAAGGTAGGGCAACAGCATTCCAGGCAGAAGGACCCACATGAACAAAGGCATGGAGAAGAGAAGGCTCAGGACACATGTACAAACAGAGCAGTGTGGCTAGAATGTAGCATATGTGAAGGGGAATAGGGGTAACGAGGCAGAAAAGGTAGCTGGGGTGTGGAAGATCTTCCTTCTATAGGTGTATAGAGTAGCCATGGATTTTGAGTGATTTCTATGATTGCTTCTGGTAGAATTTGCATTTTCTTCCCTTGTGCCACTGTACCCTGTACAGTTTGTAGAAACATCTGTAGTTTTTGTATGTTTCCAGGTATGCCCCTTTGCTTAGTTATAAGCCTCCTTGAGAGCAGTGCCTGGTGCAAAATAGGCTCTTATGTGTTGGCTGAGTGGCTACAGTGAATAGAATGAACAGAGGACGAAGCAGCCCAAAGGCAAAGAGACCAACAAGACACAACATGGACAAAGAAGGGTGAACTGGGATAGCAGTAACATGAATTGAGAGAGGGAAGCCTGTAACCTGTGAAAGGCATTTTGGAAATTAATGTCGGCAACATATAGCAACTTTGATTTGAAATATGTTGGGGCTGGGATAGGATGAGGATAAGTCAAGGGATTATCAAAGGCTCCCACAGGATATAGTGCCAAGGTAGGCAAAAAGAATTCTACTCAAGGGGAAGGGGACACTAACCCAGAAGATGGGTGTCTTGCTCAGCTGCTTCCTTCACCTAAAATTCCCCCCCACTCCCCCTAAGCACTCCAATCATTGCTATCCTTCAGGATCATCTCAAAAGCCTCTGTCTTTCTATATACCCCAAAGCTTCTCTGTCTCTTGGTATGATCATTCCCTACTTTCTGCATCTCTCATTTGGCATGTTCAGTTTTGTATTATACTTATTGCTTTTCTTACCTCTCCCTAACAGGATATATACTCCCTTTTTTCTGTGCTCATACAAATTTATTCATTGAGTGGAACAAACGCCCTGATTCCAGGGCTTTACCTTCAGATCCAGAGAAGAGAGGAAGTCAAGAGTGACTCCCAGGTTTTGCCTGAATAATCATAAGGGCAGAGTTACCATTAACTGAGATAGGGAAAACTAAGGATAGAGCATGATTGGTAGGAAAGATCAAGAGGTCAATTTTGGACAAGATATGTTTGGAATGTCTATTAGACAACCTATTGGAGATGTTGAGAGGGCAGTTTGACATGAATTTAGAACAGAGGAGAGAGTTACAAGCTAGAGGCATACATTTGGGAATTGTCAGCTCATAAATGGCATTTAAAGTCTTGAAACTAGATGAAATCATCAGTGGACTGCATGTGGTTAGAAAGGGAAGACACCCAAGGACTGAGCCCTGGGGTACTCTAGAGTTTGGGGAGAAAAGGAAGAATGAGCAAAGGAGAGTGAGAAATGGCTGATGAGAAAGAAGAAAAACAAGGAAAATGTGGAGTCCTGAATGACAAGGATTCCCTTCCTGGAGAAGGGAATGATCTACTACACCCCAATCTGCTAAAATACCAAGATGCTGACTGAGAGTTGGTTAGCAATGTGGAGGTCATTGGTGACCTTGAAAAGAGTGGTTTTGGAAGAATGGTGAGGGCAAAGGCTTGATTGGACTGTGCATAAGAAAGAAATGGAAAAGGGAACTGGGAGGCAGAAACTTTCAGAAGTTTTCTGTAAAGAAAACAGAAAAGTGAAGCAGTAGATGAATAGGAAGAGGAATTGAGGCTTTTTTAAGATAGGAGAAATAACTATATTTATACCGATAGGAGTAGTCCAGAAAAGAGAGTTCGGTTAATGCAGGAGAGAGAGAGAATTACTGGAGTGATGTCATTGAATAACTGAAAGGGAATGGGAGCTGGTGACAAAGTGGAGGGACTGACCTGCAGACACAGATGGTTTATCCATAGTAACAGGAGGAAAGGTGGAGGGGAGTTGCTGGTAGGCAAGTAGATGTGGAATGGAAGTTTGTGGAAGTTCTCTTATGTCTGATTTCATTTTCAAGAAGGAATGAGAATTACCTGGGTGCCAAAAATAAAGGGAAAATGTAAGCCTAAGAAAACAAACTTGTATGTTAATACCGCAGCTAGTGTGGGGAGGTCATGGGAGTCGGTCAGGTTCTGCCTCGGGTTGGATTTTAATAGCCGTGCAGGGACAGAGACAAGATTATGGGCTGCCACAGAAACTGGCATGTCCGCTTAAAACCCAAACTCTTAAAAGACATCAGTGAAAGTTTGGACTAGAAAACATTCTGCCCTGTGGGCCAGGGAGATCACAGGGATGCTCATCTAGCTCTGCTGAGGTTCTGAGTGAGGAAAAGCACTCTGGAAAATGGAAATCCCTGGACTGAGCTCCTGGCAAATTAGTAGTTCAAAATATGCAAACACCATGGTACAGATGCCCCAAAGCCAGAGCCAGTGATGCCTATGAGGCACCTACAGAAGCAAAAGAAAAACAAATTACTC